CTTGGTTTCTGGAGATGTATAAAGCATGAAAAAATTTGGTTCAAAGGTGTGCCTCAAAAAAAATTTTGTGACGCAAAATGTTCGATTTGGATTGGATTTCCTCATAAATTCTTTAAAAAATTTAAATTTTACACACCGAATTCACAGGGCCTTTTATTATTTTGTTTCTCAAGATATCGTGCATTTTTATGAATAGTATTAAAATTTCTTCCAATGTTTGTTTACATTGAAAATCTCTTTTTTTTTATTAAGGTGGTTCTTCACAATGGTGCAGCGCCGTATCAAAGCGACGCAGGCCCCTGTTGTTTTCTAATTTTTGATTAGCGTATAACTTACAACATAAAATGTCTCGTACTAGTACTTGACTGCAATATCATTGCATTTATATACAAATAAACATGCTAATAGAGTATGAGTTGTAAGAAATTTTTTTTTGTCGCAAGTTTATGAAAATGACAAGCATGCCCTTACTCAAGCAGACGTTGCTGATTGCTGCATGTTTTTATTATAGACATACAATCGTCGAACGTCCTTCACCGCACAATCTTAACCTCTTCACTTTTGTTTTTATTATCAGCAGAGAGATTTATCTTTTTTTGATGCTCCAGATAACCCCACTCTTGAATAATATTTAGTGGTGAAACCCATCATAACTTCCTAATCGTAATTTTCAACAAATACTAATCATAAAATAATTTTTCTAATTAACTTATTACCATATTAGTAAAGGGATGCCNGCAAAGCCTGTATACTGTGATATAATTGTAAGTTTTAGTGTTTTAAACTACGAGCGATTGTATAATTGTTTACCTTTTTATTAATTTTGTCATGATTTGTATGAAATTTATAGTGCTTGAAAAGGGCCTCATTCTAAAGTGGCCGAAACGTTGCTTTAATAAATAAATAAAGACCATTGGACAGCATTGCCGTTGGAGTCATACTTTAATTTTACACTTCAAGTTTGTATTTGCCATGATTGCTTCTGATTCTATTGATTTGTTTGGCCTTCCTGGTTTTAGTTTACCGGTTAAGTATAGTTAAGTCAAATTAATATTTTTGTTTTTAACAAACAGCAAAAAAACGCCAAGAATCGAAATTTTTCAAATAACGTTTTTAACGAATAATTTTACACCTAGACATCTAAAGTTTTAACAAACTGTAGCATTCAATGTGTAGTATTAGAGGTATTTTTTTGGAATTTTTTCCTTGCATGAAAATCCATCAAAATATCTCGGTTGGGATTTTTTTTGAGCAAGCCCATCTTTTCCTGGTCAGATAGTTATTTCCACCGATAACAAAAATTAGAGCAATAATGGAACCAAATAAAAGCCATGTAAAAAAGGTTTTATCAGAGTCAGAAGGCAGAGTCTTTGTTTACGAATACAGGACAAAGAATCACATAATAAAAATAAATATATGCATAGGTTTAAAACAATTAAAGACAGTTTTATTAATGCAAAGCCAAAATGTAGAGGCTATATGACAACGGGAAGCACATATCTAGAGCGCAGAGATTATAAAAATGGAGGAGAAATGCATAAAATAAAAGAAAGATAAAAAAAAAAATTAAGCAAAATAATAGTATGAAACTTGTTATCACTCCAATAAAGTAATATGTTGAAAAAAAAACAAAAAACAAGGAATTAACTGTAAACTGAGATTATTAAAATAAAAGTCTGGAGGTTCGAAGTGCAAGTAAAATCGAATGCATATTAAAAAATTAAAAAAGAGACAAGTACAAGACAGAACAGGTTAACGAAAAAACTATGATCCATAGGGAAAATAGGAAAAAGCAAAATCATAGAGGTTCTAAAAAAAAAAAGAAAGAAAAAAAACCAATAGGCTACAGCAAAAATTTAAAACATTGAAACGGTACAAAGATTGGATATTATAAAAATACTTGAATGATTACAAAATAAAGCAGTGGTTGCGTAAAACAAAAAAATATATAAATATAGAGCGCGCGGTGGCTCAGTCAGCTAGGTCGTGGATTGGCACGCGGGAGACCGTGGTTCGATTCCCGGCCAGTGCGACTTTTTCGGGCAAGTACCTCTGTGATTTTTCACATGTGCTTTTTCACCACGCAATGCTCCTCAAGGAGGGTTTAGCCATCATAACTTCCTAATCGTAATTTTCAACAAATACTAATCATAAAATAATTTTTCTAATTAACTTATTACCATATTAGTAAAGGGATGCCTTTTAAATTGGCACGCGCAATCTGAACGTCTGCTCGTTTATATGGCCGACATTTTACTCTCGCTGATCGATAAATGATTATTTATACGATTAAATATTGTATACTATTTTCCTGATAAGCCCCAATTCTTGTTATATTATGAGGAAGCTGAAATGTTTTTCTTTCATTTCGAACTTTTTTTATTACGATCTTAAGTCTACTTTACGAGATATTACATTATATCGTAGTGTAACAGTAACCTCCATAAGAGTTGATGTTACAAGTGCAATTTTTAACTGACTTGTTTTCGAAAATTTGCCTAATAAAGGGACTTGACATTTCGAGAGAACATATTTTATACCTTTGATAACGATCCCTCCAAGTTTTACTGTAAGTTAAAGTAAATGGGTTACGTGAAGAACCACCTTAATCTCACAGAAATCGATTGGTTTAACGAATATTGATAATTAAACGGTTGGAATTGAAGGGTACATGGCTTTAAATCTTATGATAATGGGTAGATGCTTTAAATTTAGATGTATAATCATAATGACGAGATGCATGCATTAAATTTTTTTTTTATCGCTACTGTGGATCTCAGAAGCAAAATCAGAAATAAATTTTCAGATTTAAAATGTTACGTCTGACGTTCTAATAGTACGTCTTTAGGGGGTCAATGTATGAAGATAAAGATTTAAGAAATTAAAAATTGTAAGTCTTGAGAAGTAACAACATAAATAACATTAATGTTCTGAATTCAACACTAAAACTACTTACATCTGGGAGTTAAATTGATCAAAATATGCATTCAAAAATTAAAAGAAAATGTAATATATTTAATATTGCTGTTAAAAATTTTATTACTGTGTTTCCTTTAACTGTTTGGTGAAAAAAAAAAAAAATAATAATCAAGAAAACCAGTGTAGTATAAGCTAAACGAAGATCCACTTTCTCAGTAATAACTCATTTACGTGACTGATTTAAGATATCTGTGAAAAATCTTGTTCGTTTTCATTGAAATATTACTGCCACGTGTTTACACGTAACAACAATTGAAAAACTCGTTCACCATAATAAATTAAAATGGATTAATATTTCTTACTATCTTATATTGTAGGGACTCTATACAATTCTCATTTTATTAAGCATGCTCTAGTTAGAAATTAAGTATTATTTAGGCATTTAAAAGAATTAAATTTACCTTTCCAGGAGAAAGTGCTTCATACTGATGTCTAAGAGACTGTAATTCATAGTCACAAGTTATAAGAGCTCCTTTTAATTCATAATGAAGCATAATATCACTGCGTAGTTCATTAAAATGTTGACATATGTGTTCTGTTGGAGGAGGATTAAAATCTGAAAAAAAATTTAATCCCACATTTAAATAATAGAAACATTTATGCCTNATAATACTAATATATGGATTGACAATAATTGTGCTAAAAGAAGAAAAGACTTACAGATTTGATTAAAGATGTTAGAAAAGAGAAAATTAGTAATAAGAGGAACTGCAAGTACACTTATGATACTTCAAAATTTAGGGCGATGGGTAAAGATGGATCCAAAAATTAAATAAGCTAAAACAAAACCAAAAATGAAAAAATTTTAGTATTTTACGAGGATAAGTAGAGATAAACGAAGCCGAGGATTAAAAATGTTGTCATGGAGTACAGTAAGTGACAAAAAAGTTGTGTTACAGAAAAAAATTGAATTAACTGAATTTTATTGCATAACAAGGGACGTGTGTATGAAAACATAATGAGTCTCAATGGAAAGTGTACTTAAATTCGAAACCCAATTAAAAAGCACTTGTACTTAAATACACTAAAATTTTTTTGGTTAGCAGATAAACAATCGTTGGAAACACACCCCCTTTTTTTATTTAAACTTTGACACGTCTCAGGCACGCTGTGCACCCTGCAAATACAATGGTACAATAAAAATCGTTACTTGTGTAGTAAGGAAATTGCTTAACCACGTCAGTGAAATCAGCTTTTTATAGCTCTACAGGAATAAAGTGGACGATAGAAATCAAGGCGGTCATACAACTGATTTTGTCTCTGTTGTTGCATATGCGTAGTTACTCACATCCATTCATACATACATAAAGTAGCCTTTTTACTTGAAAAAGCGACCGTAAGTACACTACATCTAATGACAAGAAAACTGTCTTTGTTTTGACTAATGAGAATAAACCTTTAATAACGCATCTCAGATTGAGTGAACACATTATAATCATGACTTTCTTCATCAAAACCTAATGACATATCAACAAAAAAAGATATACTAATAATTTTATTACGAGTGCAAAAGTCAGTTGATAAAAAATAAAAAAAACTATAGAAAGACTGTCAACTTTCTAACAAACACTTGTTTGAAATCTCATAATTTAATGAAAAAATACTCATTTATAAATGAGAGAGTATATATGAAAAAATTTTGGAGCTTTATAGGGGGCGCGGGAGAGTNAATATTAAATATATTACATTTTCTTTTAACTGTTTGGTGAAAAAAAAAAAAAATAATAATCAAGAAAACCAGTGTAGTATAAGCTAAACGAAGATCCACTTTCTCAGTAATAACTCATTTACGTGACTGATTTAAGATATCTGTGAAAAATCTTGTTCGTTTTCATTGAAATATTACTGCCACGTGTTTACACGTAACAACAATTGAAAAACTCGTTCACCATAATAAATTAAAATGGATTAATATTTCTTACTATCTTATATTGTAGGGACTCTATACAATTCTCATTTTATTAAGCATGCTCTAGTTAGAAATTAAGTATTATTTAGGCATTTAAAAGAATTAAATTTACCTTTCCAGGAGAAAGTGCTTCATACTGATGTCTAAGAGACTGTAATTCATAGTCACAAGTTATAAGAGCTCCTTTTAATTCATAATGAAGCATAATATCACTGCGTAGTTCATTAAAATGTTGACATATGTGTTCTGTTGGAGGAGGATTAAAATCTGAAAAAAAATTTAATCCCACATTTAAATAATAGAAACATTTATGCCTTAGGAAATAATTGATTTTTAAGTAAGACTTTTTTACTGTTTATTGTCACCATGCAGCATATTTTTATGTGAGCTTAGAAAGATTAGTACGACTTCATGTATTGCATTTGGTCAGTGGACACAGGGTGTTCATTATCGGATTACGAACTCAAAAATCATTTTGTGTGGTAAGCATAGTTAAGACAGAGAAGTCCACAAATTTTTTCATTTATAGCAACGTATCCACATTGTTGGGGATCTCTCGCTTAATCAACTATGCTTCAAATAAAAAATTATGAACTGCCCTTTGTTAAGCATTAAATGTATTTTTTTGAAAATATTTCACGTTTATTGATTCTTATATTAGATAATTGTTAGCTGAAAAATTATTTAACAATGAAAAAGAAAAGTGAAAACAATCACAGACAAATAATAAAACAGAAGGAAACCTAAAGTGATTTTTGTTTGAAATATTTGATTTTTCAGTTTGCAAAAACCACATAAAATACAAAAATTGTTATTATACAGTAATCATACATTGCACGATCATATGTTCAGAATGTTTCAGTCGAGGAACTTAAGGGACAAGTCGTTATTGATAACAAAAAATTAAAATAATTAAAAGTGATTTTACAAAACAAAAAATATAAGGCAAAGAATATCATAGTACTAATGTAGAATAATGTATGCATACTTCATGACGTGTGTGGTTATGAAGTTAAAAAAAAAGTTGGAAACAAGTAAGAAAAGAAAATCACTACTGATTCGTAAAAAAAGAGCTAAAATTCTTGTGACTCAAAAGTAAAAAAAAGCAGAGGGGTGAATAAGCAGCAGCAAATGCATGTAAGCTAGTGGTAAGAACATAATAAAGGTACTATAACTAGATAAGTTATTCACGAGAGTGAGATAGACTAGGAAAAGGAGTAAATAAAAGGGGTGTTTCATAAAAAATGCCAACCGAGATATTTTGACGGATTTTGGTTCGTCTCCGGACGTATTAATAATAAACCTGAAATTTAACAGCTGGACTATTGCAGGTTATTTTTATTCACCGGTAAAGTTGCGAGAATACAGTTTTTCGCAATGGTCATTTTTCCTTGACTAATTAAAAATAAATGTGAAGAGTAATTGAATTTAAGAAAATGAGGAGACGACTGAATAGATTTTAATATTAGAAAATATTTTTATTTTAGACTGACTTATTGTATAACAAAAACTGAAAGACTGACTTGACTACAACGGACTTTTTAAGATACACAGATTTATTTTTTGGAGAGAGCTAAGTATAGTGTGCACGCTTGACTAGGGTCAAATCAGAACTGAGGCAGGCCTGACTCGCGCTGTTCATACCTCTACTCAAACACACACACACATACACCTACATATACCTACAGCCTATCGATACAGTCGTGTACTTCAACACTACCTCCCGACTTGAGATAGCTGATAAACTATAAGAGTACAAAAAAAGATATAATTTTATTTCACACATTTAGATTATTTTCATTTTCAATTTTCCATGGCCCTGAAATCAAGATTCAAACAAGCCAAGGATCACAGTCATCTGGCGAATACCTTACTTCTTGTCTGAAAAAAAGTAAGTCATGTTAATCATTTATTTTGGTTACAGACTTCATTAAAAATGTGATTTCTAAATTTTTCGTGGAGCTCAATAGGCAAGGCTTTTGAAAAAATGTCTGCCGTTTGTTCTTTAGTTTCCTTAGTACTCAGCCACCTTGCATTTACTCAGCCATAAGTGATACATTCCTTGACATAATGTTAATGAATTTCTGTCATATGTCTTAATTTCCTACAGCCACTTATTTTTTAATTTAGTTCTGCTGCCTTGTTGCTTCTTCCTATAAAGACGGGTCTTCGGTTATTTCAGCCAGAAGCAGGTAGTGAGTAAGATCTTCTGCAGACGTATCTTTATCTGCCATGTCTGTGTCATATTTTTTGAAAAGATTAGATTTTTTATGAGATCATCAGCGAGAGGCAAACCTGTGAAACTGACGTCTTTAACTGGATTTTTACACTTCAATTGTAATACTATGAATCCGAAGACAGCAGGATATTGCAATATTAAAGTATGACTCCAACGGCAATGCTGTCCAATGGTCTTTATTTATTTATTTAAGCAACGTTTCGGCCACTTTAGAATGAGGCCCTTTTCAAGCACTATAAATTTCATACAAATCATGACAAAATTAATAAAAAGGTAAACAATTATACAATCGCTCGTAGTTTAAAACACTAAAACTTACAATTATATCACAGTATATAGGCTTTGCGTGATCGCTTACATTTGTCGAGATCTTACTTAATTGACTGTAGCTTGTAAGCGACTCGAACATACTAACGAAAATTAATTTCTATACCGAGGACAGGTATCTATGAGGCAGGACCAATACCAATACATACATGTGCAAGAATTGAAAT